TTTTTTTTTTTGTATTTAGGACAGGGTCTACAGGGTCTCACTGCATAGATTGGACTAATAGTGATCCTCCCGTGTACAGTCTCCTAAGTGCTGGGATTATAGGCATGCACCACCACATCCAATCTCAATTGCCATCTCAGTGCCCTGGAGGCGGGGCCAGCACGACAGGCCTCGCTCTTGCCAGGCAGGTGCTGTGCCACTGAGCTATATCCCTAGGCTTTCCCCTCTTTCTTTTTTTAGATAATCTTATTATGTAGTTCAGGCTGGTCTTGAACTTATGTAGCCTACGCTGGCCTCAAATTTGTGATCCTCTGGCTTCAGCTCCTGAGTGCTGGGATTACTGGTGTGCACCATCATGCCTGGCTTCCATATACTAAATTTTAATTATAAAAAGGAGAACCTACTTTAGTGCCTCTTTGGAGGATGGGTCTCCAGGGGGTGAGGGCACAGGGACCAGTTACCACTGGGTGAGGGCGGAGGGTGGTAGGAAGGCCTAGGTCTGGCGAGGACTTGGGCTCTTGCCTGAGCCCAGGAGGGCTCCTGGGGCAGAGTGCTAGGATCATGGCCTGTGGAGGCTGGGCTGCTGCGGGGAGTTGAGAGGAGTGGGCGGCAGGCTGGTGATGAGGTCCCTGCCGTGGAGGATGGAGATGGGCCCTGAACTGGCCACTGCACATGGGGAGACTGATCTGGGGCCTGGTAGGGCTGCTGTGCCTCCTGGATACCCAGGCATGGTCCTGAGCTCCTGGCTTTCTCTCACCTTGTCTACCTGCCGCATCCACCTCAGCAGAGTGGACTTAGTGCTGGTTCTCCCTCTCCCGGCCCCTCCTCCTCAGCTTGCTCTCTTGGTCCCCATGGCACTCCTTCAAAGAACTTCTCTGTCCCTCTAAACAGATGGCCTCACCTGCCTTCCTCCTTGTGGCTGTCACTGTGCAGTGGTCTCATTTCTTGCCCTTCATCTATATGTCCTCTGGCCCTCACTTATATCACCTCAGGACTCTGCACAGGACCCCCCAGGTGCTATCCCAGTGGTGGTTCTGTTTCTTGTAACAATGGACTGGTTTGGCACTGTGGGTTGAATTGTGTCCCCCCGAAGAGCTGTATTGAAGTCCGAGCCCTAGCACCTATAAATGTAACCTTATTTGGAAGTAGGATCTTTACAGATGTAATTTATAAACCAAGATGTGGCTGTGCTAGATTAGGGTGGGCTCCGATCCAGTCACCAGTGTCTGAAGAAGACGGGTCCTGGAGGAGGTATGTGACGACGCAGTGGAGATGCTGCTGTGCCCCTGTGTGCCAAGGAGCCTCAGCCTTCCCGGGAGCCTCTGGGGCTCGAGCCCGTGGACTGAGAGGATAACCCCCTTACCAAGCCCCTCAGTGTAACAGCCTTGGGACTGGAGTAGATTTGGACTCGGGTTACTTGAAGTAGTAACCACTTCAGTGCTGTGCCTTCTGCTTTGGAAGAAGTCTAAGTTGGGCACTGGGTTCTGATTGCTCCCAGTCCCTGCTCTTAGCTTCTGGAAGGAGGGAAGGGCTGCTGGCACCTGGCATAGTCCTGTCCCTATTGTGGTTGTCACTTCTAGTTGTTGAAGTGCTGGGAATGGAACCCTGGGCCTAGGCCGTCTACACTGAGCTGTCTTTCAGTGCAGGAGGTGCTATTGCACTTTGTGTGGGCCTGTGGGTTGTGCTAGGCATGGTCTTTCCTGTGGACCAGTCAACTGGCAAGTTCTTCCTAGTCATGTTTACTGGGTGTTTTTTTTTTTTTTTTTGTTTCTTACACAGGGCCTCACTGTGTAGGTCAAACTGGTCTTGAATTCACTTTGTAGCTGTTATGGTTTGTGTCTAGTTGTTCCCCCAGAGCCTCATATAAGTCATGGGGTGCACTTCTAGAGTTTGTGATTAACTGATGATCCACTAGGATTATGGGTGTGAGAGCTGCTGGGACTCTGTGTGAGTGCTGCCCCCAGCCTGGGGCGGACAGGCTGAGTGCAGCATAAGGGAGATAGACTTGCTGTCTGTTGCTGTTGTTGCTGTTACTCCTCCCTTTTGCCCTTGCTGTTTTGCTGCCTTCTGCCACCATGAACTGCTGCCCTCTGCTGTGTGCTGGTCTGTCTTGGGGCCAGCTGAGTATGGACTGAAACCTCCAGTAACTGAGCTAAATAAACCTTTTCCTTCCTTCATTTTGGGTGTCAGGTGTTTGTCCCAGCAACGAGAGAAGAGTAACGGAAACAGTAGCCCAGGCTGGCCTCAAGCTCATGGAGATCCTCCTGACAGCCTCCCAAGGCCTGGGCTTACAGGCCTGCGCCACCATGTCGGGCACATTAGGTTTTGGGTGTCTTCCAGTTAGGGTTGACAGAAGATGATGGTTCTGCATTTCCTTGCTGTTCTCTAGTGCGATGGAGCTCTTGTGCTGGGTCAAGATGTCCCTGTGTTGTGTCATGTAGACAGTGATCCAGTCAGGGAGGTGATGCTAGTGTCATCCAGGCACCTGGTCAGATTTTGGGATCATTTTCTTGTGTTTGTTTTCTGATCCATGGTTGCATGTTGTGCCTGGCCCCCTCCAGTGAGGACATGTCCTTGGTCCTCTGTGACTCGGCTACTGCTGCAGACTGGTTGCTTGGTTTGTTCCAAGTTTCCTCCTAACAGACTGATGCTCTCTTCCTTCATTAGGATCCCACAGCAGGCTATGTCATCCCGAACTGCAGTCCTCCTGAGCCTCCTGAGTGCTGATAGGCACATGCCACCACGCCTGGCTAGAGGATGGATTTCAAACTTCCTGTTCTGTCTGCCGTGGTAGTTGGCACCATGTTGTAAGGAAGTGCTTTCATTTCAGGGATTGAACTCAGGACCCTGCGCTTGCCCGGCAAGCGCTTATTCTACTGAAGCCATCTCCCTGCCCCCAGGAAGTGAGCCGACGACGTCAGTTCAGGGACCATCACTTCCCTCTGGGGTAGTCTGCTCTGTTGCCCTGTGCTGCTAGTTGGTGGCACCCTCATCCTCCTTGGCACCTGGCCTCGCCCCCTGAACCCAGGCATGGAATCAGACGTTTCTCTATGGACAGTGTGGCCCTTAAAAAAAATAAAAGCTAGTTATTTTCCAGTTACGTGATGCTGCTGAGACCTTCCTAGGACCGTTGTGCTTTGTAAAGCCAGAAGGTTTTGACACAAGGCAGATGTCAGGCTCCAGAGTAAAATGTCAGAGCCAGAGAAGGGAGCCATGTGGGTGCTGGGTGGTGGGTTGAGGATCCCAGCCAGCTTGTGCATCTGGCTGAGGGTGGACCCTGTAGAGCCCTGTCTTTCAGGAGTGGCTGAGGGGAGGCAGGGCGATACTGCACGCACTTGCTGGGTGCCTCCTGGCCCTGCCCAGCTGCTATTGGCTGTTCTGGTCCTGGCAGTGCTGGTCTTTGGGACCTCAAGAGCCTCCTCTTGGTTGACCAGTCCTGGCCAGGATGGTGGCAGACTGTTGTCATTGAGCACACCCTGTGAGAGGCGCAGTAGGTGTGCGTTCAGATTAGATGACCTCCACAGGAGCAGTGGCTCAGTCTTGTAGCATATCCCCTGGCCTGCAGTGGCCACCATGATGGACAGTACCTTTTTCATCTTTAGTGGTAGTGCTGGAGGTGGCGCTCAGGGCCTTCCATATGCTGGTCGTGTGCTGTACCACTGAGCTGTGTCCCCAGCCCTTTTAATTTCTGAGACATCTTGCTAAGTTGCCCAGGCTGGCCTCAAACTCGAGATCCTCCTGCCTCAGCTTCCTGAGTAGGGAGGGTCTACAAACATGTGCCATGGTGCCCAGCTGGGTGGTGTCTTTCGAAATACAAGCCTGCCTAGGTTGGGCCCCTGGTCCACACCTGCACATGGGAAGTCCTATGCCAGGCCCCATGGCTGCCCCACCCCACTTGGCCTTGCTTTCCATGCCTGCCAAGTGGCCCGATGCACCTCACCCAGTCCAGTCCTGGCTTTTGGGTCTCGTGTCTCAAAGGGTCATAAAGGAAGTATTTTTGACCCTGTTGAGTGAAAATTGAGTATTTGAAGAATGAAAAGTGGGTGCTGAGCTGTGGAAGCACTCGTGTAGCTTTCTCCTTTGATCTGACAATGTATTTTCTGATGTGTGAAGCTGGATACTCCTTATTTTCCCAGTGTGAACTGCACGTTGGGCCACATGGTTCCCTCATGTGCTTTGGACAGATTGGGGCAAGTGCCATGGAGAGCGGGGGGAGGCCCACTGCTACTTCAGCTTCTGGAGCACTGATCTTGTTTCCCAGGCATTCCTGGGCATCCTGATCTGACCTCATGCACGAGTAGTAGCTGGTACCACCAGGGAAGGTGACCACTGTGTCTGTCCCCTCGTAGTGTGGCTTTCTCCAGCTTGCTGTTATCTGGTCTCCCACTGTCTGTTTTGGCTTTTTGCTCCCAGAGCTGGTGGCTTTGATGGCTGCTCACACTCAGGGGACCCTGAGTGGGACTAGAACTGTGCGTAAGGGTTGAGATGCTGGCTGCGTGCTGGGTCTTCCTGGGTGAGGTGGTCCACTCTGCCCACTCCTGGGCTAGAGAACTCAGTGCTTCTGAGCCCCCTTTTGTGGCTACTGCATGTAGCCTGGGCCCTGCAAAGGTGGTATCTCATCTTCACAGAGCTGGGGTCTGGGGATTAGGGGAGATCAACTGCTGGAGCAGCCCTGAGGATGTTGGGGCCCAGCAGCTGCTTTTGGAGTTTGGGACCTCCAGCCTGGCTTCCTAGCAGTTCCCAGCTTCAAGGATATTGCTGCCATTGCCTCCTGTTCTCTGCCCACTTTTGGATCAGGCCTCGGTTGGCTACTTCCAGTGAGGCCTCTGAGCCTCTGCCCTTCTATTCTGGAGGCCCCTGTAGTAGAAGTTGTAGGAGAGGGCATGCTGGGTGGTTTTCAGAGTGGGAGGATGTTTCTCAGGCAGGTGTGTCCATAACATTTTGTGTGCGTAGGACTCGGTATGTGCTTTGTGTGGTCATGGGACAGTTTCTCTTCACAGAGACACAGAGCTCGGGAGAGCCTCTGGAGCTGGGTTATGCCCATGTGAAAATGGATACATAAGCCTAAGAATTAGCTCAACCCAGGATGGCTGGGGCCGTCTGACAGCTGATGCTCCTGTTGGTGTGGATGGAGGCAGGGTCTCAGCCATGGTCACACTCATCACTGAGAAGCTGCAGAACCAGAGTCTGGATGACCTCACCCGCAAAACCTGCGAGGCTGGCCCGGTG